CATTTAGTAAAGACGCCGACGAAATACTGCCTGATTCTTGAGTACTTCCGGTCGAAGAATGAGTTTTGTTTTCCTTGTCCGCAACAGTTGATAACGTGCACAGCACAGTTCCACTACTGCACGGTAAAATAATCCCATCTGGCATGATGATAAGCAAATGAAGGACCTTTCAGTTCTTTGAGAATTGCAGCATGCTATGCGTCTTATATATGCAAAAGGTGAGAAATGTGCTAATGAAAGCTTCGTGATAAAGGAGGTATAGAGAATGGAATATAAAGTCTTAGTACTTCTTCCAGTTTGACTCATTTGATACAGAAATAGACGTTTCAAAGGTTATTAGCACTTTATATGGTAAATATCTTACATGCGATTCCCCATCTTTTAAGTTGGACAAAGCCTTTCATCATTTTGAAGGAAAAAATTCAAAAATATGTACTGACTGAAATAGCGACCAGTACACAACAGTTTCACACGGCACGGAATGCACGGCTAATCTTGGTCTGCACCGATAACATTGGCAGAATTTTTCTGGTGGCAGGCTATTGTTTAAAAAACAGGGCATTTAAAATACGAAAATAAAAACAATTATGTTATTCCTATAAGAATATTGAAAAAAAATTCTCCCTGATCCGGAAAATGCTAAACAAAGTAACAGGTACCTGTATCAAAATTAATTTAAGGCCATTGGGTTATTAGTTTTTATATTTGGTTTTGTTTCATCAACATATTTAAAAGACACTGCATAGACATTTGGTTCAACAACATCGTTTATTTTATTAGTTAGACGTTATCTGTTACATGTAAATACATGTATTACAAATAAAACTGATTGAATAACGTTTAAGAATATTTTTCACTTTTAGGATCTTAAATTTCGAAATATTATTATTATTTTGCGAAATATGCAACGTACTACATCTAAAAAATGTAAATTCTTCGGATTAAGTAGAAGACGAACTAAAATTTGTTTAACGGAAATTACTTTTGGTCAATCACATGGTATATAGAAAGAAAGTCCTCATCAATTTCCAAAATGAAATAAATTTAGATATTAAATATCGTTTAAGCAGAATTGTCTTCTGCTAAATGTCTACAAGTCTTAGTATGATTCGATTTATAAATTAGTTTTATGAACATGGACAAAAGCTTATATGGCCAAACAACGTGATTTTTAAAAGGTCATCCCCAAGCAGGAGAGCAATTAATACTAGGTTTACGTCTATAGTATTTAACTGACGTACATTCATTTTATTACCTGGACTGCTTAGCTTTGGTCAATAACATTTAGAACTCTTCGTCCATTATTCATAATCATATCCGAAGATTGACCGAAAGGAGCTAGTGGATGCCATTGGATTTATAGTACGACCAGTCCAATACAACACGCAGATGTTAAAATGTATCAAGTAAATGTTGGCAGGATAAGTGAAAGTCTGCATTACATTAAACTTACGAAAATGAAATATGGCAACAGATGGGAAATGTATACCTATATCATATACATGTATAACCTTATAAATTCATCTTTTTCTATCATGTCAAAATTTTTATATTTATTTATGTATTTATATATTTTTTACTAGAAATTGTTTTATGCCATTCTTGCACCATATTTTAACACCATGTTTTGTTTAGATTATCTGTTCGATTTAAATGTAAATTCTAATAACCATTTCATATAATTCCATATGGAAATGCAGTGAATATATTAATTTTGTTTTAAAAATTTATAATCAGAAATTAATGTTTTATCATGTATATGCAATTATAAGATATAAATAAAGATACTACTTCATATCTAACAAAATTTTAAATATAGAACAAGAGCACCGGACGGGGTGTTAACGCTCGTCTGTTTATTCAGCGCAATGGCTATGAATGACAATTTTCTATCTAAAAGGGGGCATAGCTCTTATTGCTTATCAGGACGATGTCGTATTTATTTTTCTGTTCCCTTTTTCATGATAATAAATTGTGCCAAGTTTTATGTTGAAACCTTTTTGATTGTTTTAAAATCATCCTAGAGGTATTTTAAACAAAATTTTAAGTGAAAATTGGGAATAACTTTCAGAATAATGCTCCTTGTCTTACATAATTACATCCGCACCTTGTAATGGTAAGTATGTATATTAAATACTGAGTTGATATCCAGTTTGAAATGTTTGGATAATGGGCTACATTGAAGTTTTGGTACGTCGACGACAAGAAGGTCGACGCAGCGGTCATAATAGCTCGACAATTTCTTGAAACAGACGAGCTAAAATCCATTAAATTACTTATTTTAGCATTGCCAACAACAGAATATTCTGTAGCTAAAAACCGAGATTTCGAACTATTAGAAGTGCTTTGTACACGTATGAGCCGCGTCACGACAAAACCAACATAATGGGTTTGCGACCAGCATGGATCCAGACCAGCCTGCGCATCCACGCAGTCTGATCAGAATCCATGTTGTTCGCAAACCCATTATGTTGGTTTTGTCATGACACGGCTCATTTATATTTTTATTTGTGATAACGTCGAACAAACACTGCAAGCGCCATATGGTGACTGACCAGCCATATTTGTACTGTTGGGGACTCACCAAGCATTTTGTCATGATGATAATGAAAGTGATGCGACCAGCTGTTACACAACACAACATATGAAGTCAATTAAATATTTTATTTCATAAGATAGTAGTGTACATATACCTTTGTTACAACAAATGTCAAATATACATGTGAGTTTATAGTACAAATGCTAATAATCATGAACAAAACTATATTGCAAATTATCAGGCCAGTCCTCGGAATTTACAATTACAAAAGTTGCTACAAATATATAACAAAAAAAGCCTAAGGAATTCGGCCATTACAGAATATAAGGAATAATTCATATAATGATACAGTATAATAACATTCTTATCAATATATATTGCACATTTTATTAACTATTGCACTTTATAACCCATCAAATGCATCACATGTACATGTACTTTAAACCCCTTAAATACATGTATATCACATGTACTTTTAATCCCTCAAATGTATCACGTGTACATATACTTTTATCCCCTCAAAAATATTACACAATGCAAAATAATATTTTTTTTCAATCAGCTTTTGATAAATTTAAGTTACAAATTACTAGTCTTCCTTTTTTAAAAATTTAATTTGACTTAAACTCAATGTGGTTACAACTTGGATTGGTCACAAACCATTTTATCAGTTCAACATTGAGCATTCACAGCTCAAGTATGTTATGTAAATAATCCATCTGTATCAATATGCCTACATCAACAAGAACAATGGAAAGATATTTACACTATATAATTATACACTATTGGTCACTTAAAGGCACATTACGCCTTAGACATGTATATTTTTACCTCCAGATGAAAATGCAAGCATGCGTTTATTATGTTGTTATAATGGGTCTGGAACTTGTGTGTTGCTTATACTTATAAGGTAAACTGAAGTAAACAGCACTGAACATGTAAACAAGATGGCCATGATGGCCCTGAGGTCGCTCACCTGTATATAGCCCCCCTTCCCCCAACGTTGCAGAGCCAATTTAACCCAAGGGCTTTTATTTGCAAAAACTTGGTAGACATCCATAAGAATATGTTTCATGCTAAACATCTAAGCTCTAGCTCATTAGGCTTTTTAAAAGAAGATTTGTTTTAAGTTTTTACTATACACATATAGTTAAAAACAATGACACCCCTGGGGCTGGGCCAGTTTTGACCCCAGGGCTTTTATTTGAACAAACTTTGTAGACACTTACTACAAGATGTTTCATGCTTAATATCTAAACTCTTGCTATTTGGGTTTTTTCAAAGAAGATTTTAAGTTTATGCTATACACATAAAAAGAAAATCAATGACCCCCGGGGCGGGGCCAATTTTGACCCCAGGTCTTTTATTTGATCAAACTTTGTAGACACTCACTAAAAGATGTTTCATGCTTAATATTTTAATCTAGCTATTTGGATTTTCTCAAAGAAGATTTTCTAAGTTTTTGCTTTACACATTTAAGGAAAATCAATGACCCCCAGGGCGGTGCCAAATTTGACCGAGGGCTTTTATATGAACAAACTTGGTAGACACCTATTAGAACATGTTTGATGCTAAATATCTTAGCCATAGCTCTTTGAGTTCTTTAAAAGAAGATTTTTTAAGTTTTTACTTATTTATATATGCATATTGGGAAAATCAAAGACCCCCCGGGGCGGGGCCAATTTTGACCCCAGGGCTTTTGTTTGAACAAACTTGGTAGAGACTTATTAGAACATGTTTCATGCTAAATATCTTAGCTCTAGCTCTTTTGGTTCTTTAAAATAAGATTTTTTAAGTTTTTACTATATGCATTTAGGGAAAATCAATGACCCCCTGGGGCGGGGCCAATTTTGACCCCAAGGCTTTTATTTGAACAAACTTGGTAGACACCTATTAGAACATGTTTGATGCTCAATATCTTAGCCATAGCTCTTTGAGTTCTTTAAAAGAAGATTTTTTAAGTTTTTACTATATGCATATAGGGAAAATCAATGACCCCCGGGGCGGGGCCAATTTTGACCCCGGGGCTTTTATTTGAACAATCTTGGTAGACACCCATTAGAACATGTTTCATGCTAAATATCTTAGCTCTAGCTCTTTGGGTTCTTTAAAAGAAGAATTTTTAAGTTTTTACTTTTGGTTGCCATGGCAACCAGAGTTCCGCATGGAATTAAATTCTTTGAACAATTTTTAAAGGTGACCACCAAAGGAACATTCCTGTGAAGTTTGGATAAAATTGACTTTGTGGTTTAGGAGGAGATGTCATTTAAAGTAAAAGTTTACGGACGGAGGAACGACGAACGAAAAGCGATCACAAAAGCTCACCCTGTCACTTTATGACAGGTGAGCTAAAAACTGTATTATTTTGTGATAAAGGTAGCAAAGTGTAAATAAAGTGGCATTTTGACTGCCAAACAAAATGATAAATAGCTCCAAGTGTACTTATTGTCAAACTGCAAAAGATGACTCAGGCACATGAATATGGCCAATTAATTTTCCTGTTTTTGAAAAATGTGAAGGGGCAATAGAATAGGAAGCTTTTAAAAATACATTGTAGAAATGGTAACATTTTTTAGCCTTAATGGGCCGTTAATTGTCTGGAATTGAATAGAATTGCAATGTTTCCGTGTATTATGTATGACTTAATAATTCAGAGCTAGGCTTTGTGACACAGATTCTAGCCTGTGTCATGTATGTATCATGATAGGTTTTTCTGTGCATATTATCTGTACGGCAAGTATTATTTAAAATGTCACATTGTATATTAGCTCGTGAATGTGAGTCTGAAGGCTATCGATGATCCGCTACCGTCAGACACATACTTGATGAAAGCCACGTTACTACTTGTAGACATGGGAGCAGGTACCTCCTGAAATGAAAATTATATCACTATACTGTATATTTAATAAACTGTGTTATTTCAAATCTTTGCGCTTAAGCACAATTTAAGCTCGATCATCATTTTATATTTACAGCAGATAATTAAGGGCTTTTTTGTTCATGAAAAAAATCAACACTATATTTTAGAAGCACTCATTATCTTAATTATAATAATAAAGCAAATTTCAAAACCATTCATATAAGATATCTAAATATGCTAACTGCCTAGTCCTCAGGTTACAACAACAAAAAACGCAAACCACATTCATTTTATTTCTAGATGTAAACGTTAATTAAACTACCCCACTTACCCCACCACAGTATCTGCCAAACTGATCTGTCAGGTCGCTATTTCCATCAAAGACAATAATATAATCTGTCCCACAGTTCTCGCCATTTCTCATATCAGTAAAAAGTAACGTAATCACCCTCCTAGCTGGTACCTGTATCATCCATGAGCACGTGAATGCTGAAGTAAAGTTACCCGGGTAACCAGGACTTGTGAAACTGCCGTTAATTCCAGTTATATTCCCACCACAGCCAACACCTGAAGTTAGATTCACATAAATTTACAATGAAACAGAGTAGTCTTTATTATATTCTTCATAATTTTTGTTTGTTTTTTTAGGGAAAAATTGAACCTTTATAAATATGAAATTTTCAATATTTATTCAAAACCTTTTTTGGGAAAAAATGAAATTTTGAGTTATTATACTCCCTGTACTAGAAATGTCTAAAGAAAAAGAAAACACTTCGACACAATTTGTTGCCCTTATTTTCAGAAAATGACTTACATTCTTTTTTGAAATGTGTTTTCTTGAAAATGCTTTTCTGATTCTACAAATGGTAACCTTGTTTATATCAGGTCCTTAATATTAACAAAGGCTTATCTTGAACTACATATTGATGCAGATTTCTTAATACCTTTCATATACAGATCAAAGTGAAACAAAACTGGAAATTTTAGAGTAATTAAAAATAGTTATGATATCCGCAAAATACTTTAATGTAGTTTTAATTGAATCACAACATATTTTTTGGGAAAAATTATGCTTCTTCAACAACTGAGGGTTGGTCCCTTTATGGGCATGTCCAGATAAGGGAACAAGTTACTGCGATGTTTGAGTATTTATTGAAAATATGATGGAATCTCAGCAAAAAATCAATCTAGGTCAACTAAAAACGTATATGATTCTAAGAAAAAGAATTATTGCTGTAAATCTTGAATAGACCATATCAAATACATGTATATGTAAAATTTTATCAAGGTTAATAAGAAATTTGATAAAATATTGAATTGTTGTTTTAAGAAAAGTTAAAAAAAACAACAAAAACCGATAAATGGTAAAAATTGTCAATACTTTTTTTCATTACAAGGTATTTCTAAAACTTTGTAAATGATGTCATAATTTTGCTGGGAAACTTTACCTTGTGAAGTTGCAGTGTAAGTTATATCATAGCCTGGATATGTAACTGACACATCTGTAACAAAGCTCAAGCCTACTGTATTGGTAGTTGCAAATATTGGGTCTGGTAGAACCCAGCCACACAGTTTCCTGATAACCGGGGAATCTTGCTCAGATCCATTCCTTACCTGAAGTAATGAGAACTGAGAATTACCTGTACACATTTCTATACAGTGATCATTGCAGAATAATGCTAGCTCACTTATACTTTAGAGGTGAGAGGCAAGTGATTTGAGAGGCAAGTGTTTTCAAAGACCTTAACCAGTCAGCCAGAGATGCTCTCTGTCTTAAATCTTGACCAAATCAAACAGGAAAATTATAAAATCAATAAAATGCTTGACTTTATGTAAATATAAAAATTTTCTTTATTTATACAGTCAGGGGTGTAACTTAAACACGTTATCATTTTTATAACCCTTAGCCGTTATAAAACTTTATCTGTTTACTAACAGGATCAACTTTGTAAATGTTTATTTTATTCGTATATGTTCTCCGTTTTCATTGAAAAGTGACTGTAAGTACACGTATATTAGTACCGATAAATCAACAGGTTAATTGATCTCAGAATCATGTCACGGTCTACTGAACTTTAAATATGTGCTATTTTTAGCTAAAAAATGACCGATTTTTTCTAACTTTGAGATCGCTGTACCGAGAATCTCAAAATGTTCCTATTGTTCTGGTATTTTTTTTTGAAAGTATAAACAATGTGCTTTCACATGTCTGCCTTGAGCTCGGTGAGCAGGGCTGAACAGTTGGTGCGCAAAGCTTTTGAAAAATTGTAATACAAAATCATTTATAACTCTTACACGTTATTTCTTGAAAGTAAGGGAAACAAGAAAAATAACTCTTGCTTGCCTACCAAGCTTTAATCCCGATTGTCTACCATTCTTCAATATGGTTATGTACTACAAAACTGTTGTAGTTTCCAGAATTCAATTTTTGTCTGCGATGTTAATATAGATTTGTGAGATTGAATCAATACGTACACAGCTTAAATAATGTTTGACTGAATCAATATTGATATTTCATATACAGGTTAAATTGTTTCTGTGTAAGTTTGTGGACATGACTTTTTCAAAGATTTATTTTCGAACAAAGCAATGTGACCAAAAAGAACCGATTAAAAATTATTTTATTGTAGAGGTTTTTTATCTTTTTTATTTCTAGACGGCGATAAATGAGTAATCATATTCGTTTCATCAATAACGGCATTAACTTCTCCTGTCTGATTAAGTAAAAAACTAATATCAGCAATTTGCTATTTATTTTTCTCACCAACACGTGTACATGAAGTAATGGAGCATGGAGCTAAAAATATTGTATCTGTAATAGGTTATAGCAGCGTTCGTGGTAAAAGATCCCCCCGCTGCAGATATTACTTATTATTTTAATGTTGTTGCGAATGTATATGCTATTAACTATAATTTTTATTTGATAATACTATCGATCAGGCATAATTTATGCACAAAAATAAGTTGAGAAATAAAATTTCGTCCAAACATGATCATGACTAGCAATAAGATAAAGTGACCGGGCTGGGTAGAAACTTCCATCCCGCTTCTTGACCTATTAAAATGTAACAATTTAGAATTAATACACGAACAAAATTGGCAACACACTATTACATTGGGCATCGACATCGAACAGGCTGGTATGTATGCCGATTGATATAGAGGTTGTCGGTCCAGAGATTTTAAACATTGTGACATACATACATCACAGGTGCTCGTCCAGTCTTGGTGCCTATATAAAAAGTTACAAAAAAAAATCAACACCTAAACAACTATCCTGGGTTGAGTGAAAGAAAAAAAAATTTTGAAATTTTTTTTCCCCCTATATAACTTTTCTATGAAAAGGTCACCTAGTAGCCGTAACGCTATGGAGCTTTACTAGGACACGCTGTGGAACAACCACAATGTCCAGTTCTGTAACAATTCAAGCTATTTTGCTAGTCTTTATACATCATGCATTTAGAAAATTGTTAACATTCTTCGTCTACCTTATATAAAATCTTAAATGTCTTACATTTAAACTCGGACACTCCAATTTGTTAAAATCTTGCAAAATTCCGTCGATGGTCGGCCATTTTGTCAAAAACGAAAGTACAAAACCTACACCGTACTGTTCTGCGCTCCTGGTTCCCTTCGACTGCGTTGGATGAACAGTAGACAACGGTAACCATCAATTTATTGTTTACTTTTTTTAGCGCTTTCCAGATAAAAAAATAAAAAGAAAGAAACAGGCAGAAAATGAGTGCTGTGAACTGGTAATTTATGTTTTTACTTTCCGATCTGTTAGTTAATATGTTTTATGTCTTTGTTATTGTCGGTAAATAGCTTATTACAATAATAAGCTATTGTTTTTTAACATCTCAAAATATAAATATGAGCCGCGTCACGACAAAAGCAACATAATGGGTTTGCGACAAGCATGGATCCAGACAAGCCTGCGCATCCGTGCAGTCTGATCAGGATCCATGCTGTTCGTTATCAGTTTCTTTACTTGTAAAAGAGTTGGTAAGCGAACGGCATGGATCCTGATCATACTGCGCGGAGGCGCAGGCTGGTCTGGATCCATGCTGGTCGCAAACCCACTGTTGGTTTTGTCGTGATGCGGCTCATATATAGGCTGGTGTATCCAAAAAGAATATGCAAGTAGTAATGAAAATGGAAAACGGCATATTACGAGGGAAATTCTTGTGTGTGGGTGGGAAAGTGGGAGATTCAGACAAGCAAGCACGGATCTCTTTTTTTTCAAGTGTGGTGGGGGTGGCGGTTTTAGACATGACGTTTCTCAATTTTTACATTTTGGAAGATGTTTCAGTAGTTGATTTATGTAAACATAAACAATAAAGCAATATTTTAAACTAAATTGTTTTATTATTAGTCCAAAATCTAACCAACGATAGACTGTTGACTGTGTATCTATAGACATTTACAGACACTTGGGGTGTGGAGCTCAAAACGCCTTTAAAATCCAAATAAAATGCATATTTGTTAATCCAAGAACATGTACTGGGGCCGTATTCACAACTGATCTTAAGTTAATTTTTCGACTTAAATATAAGATTTTTCTTATATTTTGAGAAATTATCTTAGATTTAAGATAAGAATCCGCAATTTACTTAAGTGGTATTCACAACTGTTTTTTATCTTAAGTTTTGTCTTAAGATGGACAATTTTTGTCTTAAATATAAGTCAGCTACTACCCTATCTTAAAGTTAAGAAATTTCTTAACTTGGCAGTAAATTATCTTAAAAATGGCGGACGGTAAATCGTCGATTCGATTGAAAACTTGCGTTTTTTACTAGTATTAGATATAGCATTGAGGTAATCAACGCCAATAATTACAGCAATAATGATTTCGTTCAAAGTAATTTATACACACGATAAATGTGAGTAAAACAAGGGAGTTAAATCGGCAAAAAATTGAAGACGCAAAAGAGACGCTCATTTCACAAACCGGAGAATGATCGTCAGTTTCTTGCTGGTAAGTACTTTTAAAGAAAATATTTGTGCACAGAAAAATGTAAAATGTAGGTTTGTGTGTTGTTCTTAGAGAAAAACATAACCGCTAAACGCTTACGAGTGTTTATTTGGAATGTTACTTGTTTTCGCGAGAATCACTTATCGTCGATGTATGTAAAATCGCGGTGTATATAAATTCGCGGATTTTGTTTACACTTTGATAATCTCGTAAAATCTCGTCGCACCTGCCCGACAATGACGTAATATTTCTCGCAAAATGTGTCTACATATGTTTCGTGTATCAAACCATCACAAATCACACAAAAATGGACAGTTTATTGTTTATTTTCTAATAAGTATAAAAAAACATGATTTTACTTATGCCCAAATATCTACCTTATAAGTAATCCATTTTTATTAACTTAGAAAAGTTTGTCAAACAATTCCCAGTTCCGGAAATTTCTTCAAGATGTGAAGGTCAGTCGGCCATGCTTTTTTTCCCAAACCGAGGCTATGAATATATTTACTGACCGATTTTGGATACCCATATCAGCTAACGCTAAAAGAGTCATTTCCTTCATTTAAAAATTAATTAGGTCTAACTTTAAGCCTATTTGACCAAAATATAATTGACAGAATAACTTTTATGTCATCATCAAACTTTAAGATGTAATCACATGTTTAGATTACAATGTGCAAGCACTTGACCTACTTAAATGTTTTGCCAGAAATGAGGGTCATATGGGGAGGTGAAAATCGAATTTATCGGCTGTTTTAGTTTTTTTTACTACTTTTTACATGTTTACAAAATGAAACTGCAAATAAGAAATAGATATAAAAAATCAACATTATTCTGAAAAATTGATATTTTCTCAGTTAAAAGTGACTGGAATTTTTGTCATGTGCACTGATTTGACCTGCAATGACGTATTTGTAGTCGTCCGCGAATTAACATACAGTTCCAATATGGCGGCGGTCATGACAGACGCTTATTATTTAAAGTTACCACTGACAAATACGAGTGTAAGTTGGTGAAACTTGAACTGACTTGAAATTGAAAAAGGCCAATAGTAAGCAAACATTATGTGTATAATTTATTATATATCTTTTTTCCACATTATTTCTCACAAATGTGCCTAATACCGCGAATATACATCAATCGAGGATATGACTATCACTGAAAATTGCGGATAAGCTACAACTTGCAATGCTTAGCGGATAATTTTAATTGAATAATTTACATATGCAAATTGATAATGTTCCGTATTACCGATGTGTTTATTGAAAACCTGACACATGCTGAATTGATAATGATTTGCCCCTCTGACTTGAACTGTGTCTTAGTTTCGATCCAATCAAATGATATTTAGCATGTTTCTGCTGTGGCCATCTGTGACATACATTATTTTAAAATTTTCATGATCCAATCTGATGAGAGGATGCACATATTTAACTGCGGCCATCTATGACCTACTTAACCAAATAAGCAATATTAAATCACATATCATTGGTTAAGACTTCTACTTGAACTGTGTCTTAGTTTTAATCCAATCTTATGATATTAAGCATGTTTAAGCTGTGGCCATCTATGACATATGTTATTCGACATTATTGAGCCAATCTGATGAACAAATGCACATATTAACTGTGGCCATCTATGACCTACTTAACCTAATAAGCACTTTTAAGTCACA